TTCTATTACGTTTTACGACAAAAAAATATGCAATTACGTTGAACGAAAATAACCCTTCCCCCCCCCCCCCCCTCAGCTATCGGTACAGCGACGGACATCACGTTCGGTGGTTTTAACGGTACTTTGCTTGGTGTGCTTTTATAAAACCATTCACTTCGCCTGGTACTTCATTTTCTGGTGCTGGTCCAAGAATGTCATCGTGTTGACCCTGTCCTATCGACTGCAACCATAATATTCTGCAGCAGCCATTATCGTCTACAGGTTGTCAAGGGAACCGGTTAACATGATACGTAAATATATCCATCCGCAGTGCCAAACTCATCGATTAACGCGATTGCATGGACAACTATGTTACTGCTTATGTAGAATGTAACTTTTTTACCAATAAAAATTACCTTTAAACATTAAGATATAAACCCTGTATTCCTTATGCTATTAAAGGTATGGAATAAACTATTACAGCCCGAATATGGGCGTTAGTGCCTCCTAACGTCGGGCAAATGATCACCTGCGCCTGGGCACAAACGCCCATATTCGGGCAGTAATATCTAGGCAATCAATACTATTTTTGTAAGAGAAAAAAATGTAAAGCTGTGTGAATAGACTCAACCCACTATTAAACTAAAACGGTAGTGTCAAAGAAAAATTAGATGGGTGCACGTTCTCTGCTTAAACGGAATCGTCTGTCATCGGTGTCTTTGCTTTCTTTCTTTTTCCCCTCATTACGTTAGTAAAATGGTGTTAGTAAAATAGAATATTGACTTGAAATATTATGCTGACAATGGACGTTAGATAAACACATTGTTTGCGACAGGAAGCTTATCTCACGTTATATCAGAATCGTCAACAGGTACAGATAAGACGTTACCATTTAAACCGTATCAAAGATAAATATTATGCAAAAGCAAAGTAACGGTTTTATCAATTTTCGAAAAATCAAGAAAAAAAAACGCAAATGTATTTCCATTCTCGCTACATTGAAGCATTGTTGCTATGATTTTTTTCAACATGGCGATTATATACAAAAAATGTTATGTTAATAATAAACAAGTAACATTGAATAATATCTAGTTGCCATTCATTTTATTACTATACTGAGTATACTATTCATCCGAGCAAGCTTTTTTTTTTAATGCGATTTGTCATTTTTGACGAGAATGATTAAATTAAGAAGCACAATAAATGTCATGATTTTGTTATAGTAAACATTATTAGTTAGCAAAATAGGAATATAAATTAAGGCAAACTAAATGCGTAAACGGACGTCTCAGAATCGGCAAGCTCCCAGAGAAGCCAAAAAGGAAGGCAGTAACGAGGAAAGCTGTACCAAAGAAAACGTCGACCAAGAAGCCAACACTGAAAGACAAGAAACCCAAGGACAAGAAGGTTACGAAAAAAAAACAAAGTCGGACAGTTAACTATAAAAAAAATTAATGTTTTAAATGTTATTAATGAAAACGTTTGAAAGAATGTTAACATATGTTAGTTTTTTTTTAAAATGAGTAGCATATGTAACTGTCATTTAGAATGTTTAATCAAAGATTAAAATTTACGTAAAATAAATATTAAAAACCACAACATAGTCTACTTATATGAATTGTAAGAAGAGTAGCAAGTAATAAAGTGTTATTGAATATTCAAATAATATATTTCAATTCCCAGCGATTTAACTTCTGTATAATATAATATGTGGGTGTATTTTTGCGCACGGGGTTGCGGCAACAATGTTGACCGATCTGTTAGTAATAATTCGGCATTATAATATGGTTCATTTCTCGCTATCGAAGCGCAACATTCTCATTGGTCGATCAGTACAACGCATAGCCTTTTAAAAGACATTAACAGCTAGGGCAGTGATTGTGCTCGATGTGTGTGTGTGTGTGTGTGTGTGTGTGT